CGACTACTTGATGCTTCCACCGCTAATCTGATTTTTAGGTGGCATTTCTTTTGAGACTATTACTTATAATTTTAAAAGAATAATAGTAATACAGAAAAATTTGTCTAATAAAAGTTTATTAGAAAAAAAGAGAGCAATTTAACAGGAAAAAAGGTAATACTTTCGACTGAAAATGGAGCTTACCTCATCCCATTTAACATCACGTGTCCCAAATTTTATTTAAATTTTTTGTGTTCTCACAGTAGGCCCATACCTACTATCGAGTTTGATATACCTTATTCAATGTATGGTCGTGATTATTATAAGGATCAAAACTTAAATGTTGATATCCATTTGTAGAGTATTGATTAAATGGTGCACAAAGTACATTAACATAATGACAAAAATGTAATGCCATTAGTACTGATGTGGTCATTAATACAATGTCTTCAATTTAATTACTTTCATTCTACGTGATAAATTTAACGAACGCGAGGCACTGATATAATGCACTAAAGATCAAGTAATCAACGTGGTTCATTATGATAATGGAATGAAACATCGGTTGAAAATTATTCTGAAATAACATTGTAATGACATTTTTTCGTGCTGTGTACGACCATATTTAAAAAAAATTCATATGAGTTTTTGTGAAATTTGAAAAAATAATGGATTGTCCCATATGTCTTTTGGAACAACTTGTTTTAAAAAACTTTGCCCATTCATTAACGTCAGCCACTTCTACCAATTAGCTGTTATAAGTTTCAGTACGAAAAAAAAAAAAAATTACAGGCCCCAAAATTTATACCCGTTCCTTAGCAAACATTAAAGCAATACATTTATGTTAATCCAGCGAGTGGAATGAATGAAAACACTGACGCATAAAAATTGCGAACAAGATTTAATATAAGGTAAAACAAGTGCCGTTAATAAAATTTTATGTAACTCTTATCTTTTATTCATGAAACCCCGCGTTTTAAAGTCAGCCCGCTGCCGTCGTGGTCGGAGAAATTATAGCCGAAATCCACCTTGTCGGCGCAATTTTTTGTCCAGATGATAATTGCGTTCGTGACTTACCATTCGGTTGGGCAACGTTTCGGCTTTTTGCTCGTTTTGTGACACGCTAGGATCGGCGAAAGAAATCATCATCCCGGTTGGCCGTGACCTAGCTACGTCCGACCGGTTGTCTGAAGGGTGTGGCCGGTTGGTAACTCGTATGGAAAAGAACAGTGTGTCTTACACGGGCCTTGCGCCCCTTGTCAATGTAACGTCCGCTCGACTGCGTCGTTGATCTCTTCTACAGTAACTTGCGAGAGTAATGTCGCTGGCCGACTGAGATCGCAGCGAACAGCGTCGGGCTAGCCCACAATGCAAATGCTTAGTGGGACAAGTAGATGGGTAAATGGAAGACAAATGGAAATAACAGTACCTAATACACAGAAACAAAACTGATGCATCAATCAAGCCATTAAAACTAATTCAAATATAAAATACTAAATACAGAATTTGCCAAGGACTAAATTTACGTTGAAAAGAGTAAATTTATTGAAGCAAAGCCAATGCTTGGGCTGCATCATTTTTTTTATTCAGCAAGATCTGTTAACAAATACACAAAACAAAACAAATAGTGAGTTATTTTAATTAGATTGTGTTATTTCATGTCTTCGGAACCGCTGAATAAGAATCTAATGGTAGTTTAGCTCTAGTAATCAGGTTTTTGGGGAAATTCTACCCAAATCCTCAAATCATGGGTTGTTTGTGTATATGCTTAAGGATTATGACATCGTGGGAAGCGATGGCTGTGAAATGGGCAGTGACGACAAACATATACTGTAGAATGAAAAGAAATATCTGCAAAGATTTATAGTCTACAGTACAGACCCCCCCCCCCTGGAAAGTTAATTACCACATACTTTATAAACTCGAGGAGCTTCGTTTTGACGAGTTTACCACACTTCTCCTCTGCGACTTTTCTCGATTCTTCGGCTTTTCCACTCGGAAAAGTCCAAAAACATGGCAATTTCCCGGGGTCTTGAAAAGTCAAGACCACATCTTTTATTTTTCGCTTAAGTAACTGGAAATTTTGTTGCAAATGCCGATTTAAATTTGTCCGACAGAAATTCTTCCGACATTGACATATCTATCAGCCGAAACGTGCCAAAATTACTGGGTATTGAAAATCAATTACCACATAGGTAATTTACCCTGTCATTTTGGCATGTTTCGGCCGGTAGACACGTCAATGTCGGAAGAATTCCTGTCGGACAAATTTAAATCGGCATTTGCAACAAAATTTCCAGTAACTAAAAGAAAAGATGTGGTCTTGACTTTTCAAGACCCCGGAAAATTGCCATGTTTTTGAACTTTCCCGAGTGGAAAAGCGGAGGAATCGAGAAAAGTCGCAGAGAAAAAGAGTCGATAGCTCAGGCGATAATAGTGAAGAGCAAGGTTAAAGATTTCCTTGAAATGAAGGTAAGTGGAACGTGATTATGATGGAGGACAACTGTTGTCTGTTTAAAAGGGAATGTAAAGTTAAAAGTAAAAAAGAGAAGGAAACAACCACGTTTGAAGACAAATTACTGAAAACCACCTCTATGGTACATTTGGAAACACATATTTTTACGGATTGAGTGGGCAATTTCTCGAATATGTGGGTGCTGCTATCAAAATGACTTCAGATTCGTGTTCAGTGGATCCAAAAACATAATAATAACAGGATATGATTGAAAGAACAGACCACTTTTTTGTTCCGTGTTCCTATCTAATTGGATCAAACAACGATCAATGGAAGAACGGTATGTGACAGGTCAAACTTTTTATTAAGGATTAACGGTCTAACAGAAATGGGATTAGCATGTTAAAGCAAAACCCACATTAGGAATGACACATGACTTCTACGAACATGACACTGACCTAACCTAAAACCCAGAATCAGACTAAACACTCAGACGTAAGACACAACAATAACAACAAAAACAACAACAACACCAGCAGCAGGAACAACGCCAGCAATAACATATACAACAGCAGCAGCAACAGTAACAATTAAAGCACACTTTAATCTATAATCAGAGTATTTCAACAAATCATACATTTAGATGGAATTGGATTGAGCACCAACACGAAGGATTTCTTCCTCACAATTCCTCTGTCACTGTGCTTGTTTAATGATAAAAATCACATATACTTAGGATCAGCACTTCTGTTACCTGAGATATCAAAGACACGCCGAAGAGCAAGAGCTTTCCTTGCATGAGTCTATTTTAAACTCTTACCAGCAGCATGCACAATAGGTCACGAGAGCGTTTTTATGATAAATCATTATTGATATTGATTGTATTTAAGTACTGACCCAACTTCGCGTTAGTAAGACTACAACAGGGACTGGATATTCCAAATGCTGTAAGGATGGAATATCAGTATTCTATGATGGAGATTTGCCTATTTGGAAAAGGCATGGGATTTTGTTCTGCTTTTAATAACATATAGCTAGATTAATGTCTTCATCTAACTCGGGACGTCAAGATCTTCCTAAGCCACTCCAACTAAATGCAAGTTATGAAAGATAGAACAAGCTAAAAGATAACTTGTAATTCAGTTTTTTGACATGTCTACATATGCTTGTTTCATACAATACTGAAACCACAATGCACGTTGTTCAACTCTCCATTAAAATTTGTAATGAACCTCTTTTTAGATTTTTTATATCGACTAGTAACCAAAAAGAATTATAAATTTTACGCACGACTTTTGATTCACTTTTTATAGTTCACATTTTAAACAAATAGATTTTTCAATATATGACCATTACAACCAGAAATCTTAATATTTAATTTAATAACAGGAAGCCAAACAAAATATCAGCCAGGTGGGCCAGCCCGATACTGTCAGCGGACCAACGCAACAACGCACAAGATTCGGTGCACTTCCAGCAGAGAACTGGCCTGGTCGGGTGGAGAACAAGAATGCAGTTACGCAACCCTACCTTGCCCCACGCAATTTCAGCCCCTTCATTAAAATCGATATCGAAGCTTTTTGTTCGACTAACCTAAGTACAGTTCAATTCAAATTATTTGGCAACGGATTTGTAGATATCTCGGCCGATCCAAATTCGTTTTTGTTATAAAGCGGAGTGTGTGAAAGTAGCAAGGATAATATAATTTCGCGAGTCTAGACAGGTAATCCTGACGCAGGACAAAAAAATGTGTGTTGAAATTGAATTTCAGGTTTAGACGCTTCTAATTATTATCTCACGTCGCAAAAATATCTGAAAAGATGAAAACTAAGTCCCAGGCTGTGTTGGGGTGAATATGTAATCAAATGTCTCAAAATTTCAGTCAGATACACGGTACCGAAATTGAATTGGGTCGTTTCTAGTGTTTCTATATACATTTTCTTTTTCTAAAGAATTTCCTAAAACATGGTTGCTATTTGACATAATATCACAATATTTATTATCTATCCATGATTCTGATTTTTTGGATAGAAATACAAATATTATACGATACAAATATTATGATATAGCGTGTCTCATTGTATGGGTCATACCTCAAATGTAGTTGGGCATACATACTTCTACCGCTACTTAGCCCATGTACTGAATTCCATTTTCCATCAGTTTTACTTGTTAAAGTATGAAGAAGTTTCAGATTTGGGTGAAGCGAAAGACTGATGAAACAATGTCTACATTAATTATTCCATAATAAAGGAAATAACTTTGCGAAGTTTCCTAATCAAGACAAAAACGTTTTCATTAGGGCCGAGCTAGATAAAGAAACGTCGAAAACAAATTAATCTCTATTTACGTCTCACTCAATAAGCCCTAACGAGAATTCCTTGAAGATCGCCAGTTAGATGATAATAGGTGAATTTCTTTCCGAACTAACAAACCTTAAAGTTTAATTTAAGAGAGAGAGTGGAATCGAAGTGGAAGGATGGGAGAATTTTGTCCGATAGCCGTTCTGGAGTTGTGCTGAACGCAGTTACGTTTAATTTCGATAGAAAGTGTGTAAGGGTCTTACCTTAATTTGATAAGAATTCAGCTTGTTCTTCGGCAGGGCATTGAAGGAGCTGAAATCCAGGCGGCGGGTGAAGATTCCATTTGCACCACCTCCAACTCTGCAATAGAAGAAAAATTAGTTAATCGATTTCTCTCAAAGTGGTTTTTTTCCTTTTAATTTAATATGTATTAATATTTAGGCCTATATTTTAGTTTAAACCCATTTGGAAAGCTCTAAAATGTAAAAAACGACTCACTTTTGAGATGGCCATTGTTCACAGTGAGGTTATAGATATTGGAAACAGGAATAGGATTTTATTACAACTGCGAACAATTACAATAATCACAAATTGGTGGATATATTGTTAATATACCGTGAATGTAGGCAAAATGTTGCAACCGCATAACGCAGGCACGAATCTTTTTCTACTTAGCCATCATAAAAATATATCAATAATTTTTATCAATGTAGGGCAACACTATAATGTAAACATGTGAGGATATTTATTATTCGTTACTAATTCAGTATCTATTTGATGAATAAAACATTAATTTTTTTATTTATTTATAACTATAGCGCTGTGTTTAATCATGCGTGAAATCTTTTCTAGTACAAATGTCGCATTTGAGTATGATCTGTCATTGGTGATTCAGTAATAAAACCGATGTTTTGCGAAATTAATATCGTCCATTATTTTACCATCAAAAACAAATAAACAACTCCCAGTTGTTGATTAAATGATTGTCGTATGGGCGGTGATTTATTGAGCCATTATTTATTTAAATTGTTAATTAAAGGCAACGTGATACTCCTTTCTGCTCGGCAATAATTCCATTGTAATTGTTCCAATAAAAACCTGAATGCGGAAGATTTTGTGTTAATGTCTTTATTTTTAAACCGCCAAGGTGGATGTACTTTGCAAGGACTGTTTGTTAATACATGATTTATTTTGAACTGCAAGAAACTGTTTGTTCGAAAATAATTTATGAATTTTTACTTTAATTTTACATTTAAATCGTAATTAAATAGCTAACAAAATATTGAAAAAGTTTAAGTTTACTCTGGCTTAATATGTAAAAAAATAACTTTTTAAATTAACGATAGCTTCATTTATTTATTTAAAAATAGTAAAATAATTTCGAAATTGAAATTTTAATTAATATTTCGTTTAATAATTAATTTTTGTGACATTTTGTGACCGAGTGAGTTGCGCGAAACTAAATCTGTACAGGACATAGCTAGTACCATGCGCCATAATTTTAAAAATGTTGTCACCGCCGTTCGTGGGGTGAAACTTCGAAATATTTAGAATTATTCAAATTTCGTGGCTGAGTAAATTAAAAAAAAAATAAGTATAAAAGATGCATTTTTTCTGGGGTTCAGGGCTATTCTACGAATTCGTAAATATGCCCATTGTTATTTTTTCGTCGAGCTACCCCAGTTTTAAAAAAAAGTTTCTACGATGAATAGAAGCCGAGATATTGCAAAATTTACAGCGCGCATCAATTTGAACCACCACGCCGCCGGCCGCCGGACAGTTTACTTAGCGAGTACCTTCTCTTTAAAGGGCTCGTGAGTCATTAATTTTCCACATTTTTTCAATGGAATTCACGGGAAATCGTAGTTTACGTCGTAAACTTTATTTTGCGAAAAATTCAAGTCTTAATTTAATATTTATAAACAAATGCGCTACGATTTAAAAAAAAATCTTATCTTGGCTCCTGTTGGTCGTAGAGGGTGCTTTTTTAAATAAATTTGTATTTTTTCGCCAGCTATCCATTGTCACTATTTTCGGTGAGGTAGCACAAATAGCAACAATTTTATTCAAATTGTTTATAAGCGAAAAACGCAGAGTCTTTTAATGCACAATTTGAGAATGTTAATGTCAAAAAACGGTGAAATTTTTAATAAGTCGCTTAATTACGTCTTTAAGATTACAATGACGCTTTCAGAATCATGTTTGGTTGAAAATTAACGCCTGTACAGAGGATTAAACAAATAGAATTGTGCGAAAACTATTGCACCTACAGCGCCCACTTTTGGCACACTTTTGAAGTAGGACAAAACCCTCAACTTGTCATAGGTTTTATAAAATTTTAACAATAAATGCGATAGTTATAAACAAATTAAAAAATGGGCACTTTTCTTGTTTTTTTGCAATAACTTTTTTGTTTATTAACCGATTTTAATTTAACAAGTCTCATTTTGTAGATAATTTTATTCTCTACAAGCTGTCTGAGAGTCACTTTTCGCTAAAATTGATGGTTTTCCCTGCAAAGTGAAAAAACTGTTTTCCTCACTTATTTGTTTAAATAGAAAAGTTAGTTAATAAAAGTTATTGACTCACGAGATGAGAGATGTATTATGTTCCTTTAGACAATTTTACAATAATCTCGCGGATAGGACTTTTTTCGAGTTTCTCTTTTATTTTCGCTAATTTTCCTGGTGTAAAATACGTATTTTGATTAAAAGTTAAGTACCTGTTTTAAGAGATTCACAATTACTAATATACGAGCTAAAATTTAAGCACCACATTATCTTCGTACTACAAAATCGATATTCTTTTTTGATTTATTCAAAAATTGGAAAACCAATTGTTTTGAAATTTACTAAATGTTTCACAATAATAGCTGTTTACATTTTTTCCGTAGGACAAGTCTCCCGCGACTACACGTGGTGTGCATCAGCAGGTTAAGCGCTGTTGTCACATTGTGATGAAACTCCCCAATATTAATTCTCGCTGTATTTTGAAAACTGTTAACCCTACGCCCCTGTAATATACAACTTTTTTGTTCATTTATAATTACTCTCTCTCTCTCATGCTGAAGTAATGGCAGTCAAACTTTTTACACCTGTATAAATCCAGCGAAAATATTTAGGTATATTGCTTTTCCTATCACTAAACTGGGTGTCAGTAGGTACAACAGCCAAGGGCCCTTGAGAAAGAAATAATTGTTAAAAATTTGTATGAAATAGGAATGGTCGAGAAGTCTGGAATCTGAATTTTTTTATTCCGTCAGTAAATCTACTGCCCGGATTAATATTAGTTGTTTCTTAACTGGTCATCTTTCAACTTCTTAAGTTTCTTGTGTTCGGCATTAGTCTACTGTAAAATCATAGCAATCGAGTGTTATTTCTTAAGAGGCGGTTAAGTTTAATGTTTAATTCTGTAAATTTTTTCTACATCATAAATTGATGAAATGTGAGATACTGAGGTACTAAAACCATATTACAGACTATTAGGCAAGAGCGCGACGTTTTCATCAATGTGCCTGGTTGGTTACACAGGACTCTTTTCATAATCGACATATTCTTCTCGAAAGATCCCAGCCCAATAAAAATGTACTAACCCCATCCCATCCCATGAAAAACATATAAAGTTGGAGATCATTTCGACCGCCGCAAAAGACGCAGCTGTTTACAAGCCGTTTCATTTTTAATTTTCCGGAAAGTCAAACTAAAATTACTCGACAGCGACGCGTTAAAATTCCATTAAGGGCCTTTTACTGTTAACGCAAGTCGAAAAAATAGTAGTTTTTATAGTTGACGCGAATTGTGGATCCCAAATGGCTATTAAAAGGTTTTTAGTGTAGTGTGGTCGGCTGCGAGAGTTCACGTTAGTTCCTAAATTACTTGGACACTCCAGAGATTCCTTTGACGGGCGGGGGTGTGCAAAAAGTTGGTGTCTTGCGAGTTGGCAGCTTTGCAACGGCAACAAGTTGCGGTTTTTGTTTAGTAAAATATATTTTACTAGGTAATTAGTCGATTGAAAATCAAACATCAATAGATATTTCACACGTCGATGTTTCAGATTATATTAAGTTCAACCTAAAGATACCACTATAGCACAGATTTGACACCTATAGAAATTCATTCAAGCACGTAAGCAATCATATAAATCGTGAAAATAGAGTCAGTAAGTTTGACCACTTAGAAATAAATCCAGGGGTCAGTATTGGAGTTAGAAAAGACAATTAGAAATGACAAAATGATATAAACGAACTAAATCTGCGTACAACTTTTCATCGCTTAACAAAAATTGAACTTTCAAATAAAGATTAATAATTTTTTTCCTTCGTTTACGTGTCACACTCACCGCTAAGAACAATTCGCTCACTCCTGAAAAACCAGAACATTTTCTTATCTTACTGCAAAGTATAATTTCTTATTCTTAATTTAGTCTTTTGCTGAATTCAAGTATATTTATCAACATACAGGATTATTCACAAACTGTGACCAAAAATAAAACCTCGTATTCTTTGGTGAATTTTAGGGGGAGTTTTTCGAATAAAATTTTTATCTAGGACGCTTCGTTAAAAAGATACAGGGTGTTAACTTAAAAAAATAATTTAATTTTTTTAAATAATTTAAAAACTAGTAAGTGAAATAATTTGAAATTGGGCATATGTATTTATGTAAATATTGTCCAAAATCTGAGGCCTTTTTCTATGCCTCAGTGGTGGAGATACAGGGTATCACTAGCATATTTTTCTAAATAAAATAGTACGCCACTGCTTTGCGGTACCAATCATGATATTTTCGCATTTGTCTTTTAATTTTCTACAAATTACTACCCTCTTATGTTTTTCGAAAAAAGCGTAATTTTCGAGTAAAACTGAAAAAACGAACTCAAAGACCTTATTTTTTTGAAGACGATGACGAACATCATGATAGTGTTAATGGAAAGCGTTACAGAAATATGCTAACAGAATATTTTCAGCTTAAACAGGTGGTGCAACTTGTCACACATCTCATCAGACAACTGATTCATTGCAACAATAGTTTCCACACAATTGAACACCACGTGAAATATGTAAGTTATCAAAAATTGGATCAAAAATTGGATTTCCAGAATTCATTCAGTCAGATGAAGTCGAGCAGGATATTTATTATTGTGTTTTACTTTACTCACTTATTGGAAAACTCTGTACAATTATTTATGGAAAATTTACTATTTCTTATAGAATTGGCACGAACGGATAAAAGTTCTCTTTATTCAGCACCTTTATAGTCCAATTGAATGGGCCTTTAAATGCAAATTTGGTCAACCTGCTTGAATTTTTGATATGTTAGTTTGAGGTATATAATAACAACAAGTGACAGTAATTTTTTTGCAAC